TGATGATGATGATGATGATAGCAATAATGATGATGATGATAATAGCAATGGACAGTGATGATGATGATGATAATAGCAATAGTGATGATGATGATAATGATAGTGATAATAATATAGGGTATTCATATTTATCATTTTCCAAGCCAAGAATGGTATACGTGCTAAGTTTCTACAGCCACAGTTCCCCACAAAAACTTTTCCAAATCACTACTCAATAATAACTGTAAGTATATGCTATGCCAGTCTTATTATGGTATTTCTAGTTTTGGTTACCATGGTAACACTTGAACAATTTCTTTTCATGKCAACGTATGACTTTCTGATGTATTTTTGACAGGGATTGTTTCCAGCTCATAATGGCATAGTTGGGAACAGTTTCTATGACCCTACATTGAAGGACACCTTTAAGATAGGTGGAAAAAGTTCATTTGACTCTAAATGGTGGAAAGGAGAGCCAGTAAGTGTAATGTTTGGTTCCAGAAAGTATCCATACCCCACCATGGAGAAAATTGGGAATTCCCAGGGGGTGGGGGATCAGAGGAAAAACAAAATTACAAAGTTTGTATAGAAGAACATTGAAAATCCCAGAGGGGCTTGGGAAATTTTTTAAAAATTTCCTCMATGGTGRGGTATGGAMATTTTCTGGAACCTCACAATTTTTAGATGRTTAATTTTTAGATGATGGTGGCTTTGTTGCAAGAGGAATAAGAAGTCCTCAATATCATATCATATCATACTTCCATCATGAGATATGATGTTTCCATTACTTCATTGCATTTTTTCTCATTTTTTCCTTCAATTTAGTTGCAGCAAACCAGGGTGGACAAGGTTTTGAGTTGAGGGATCACCTTAGAAACAAATGCCAATTTTACATCCTTTTAAAAATACTATTTTAAGGAAATAATTAGAAAAAAGGTTTCTTAAGGAAATAAGTGCTGGGACGGGAATCACAGGCACTCCATTAACCTAAGGGCACTTTAAGTCAAACTGATCGGCCCAGCAGCCGGTTTTCAAATGGTACGCATCAGTTCCTATGACTTGACCAAAGTGGTTTGAACCAGTTCTAAGAACTGATGCATTCAATTTTAGAAGTGGCTGCTTGGACTGATTGGTTCAACTAATGGTAAGCACCCTAAACTATTATTGACCTCATTTATCGGTGTATACTTTCAGCTTTGGCAGACTGCCATGAAGAATGGGCTTGTTGCTGCCTCATACTTTTTCGTAGGATCCGAGATACCTATTAAAGGTATATTATGTTCATATACTTCTATATTTGACTGATAGTCAGGCACCGCAGAGGTGGATGTCTCTTCAGCCTGAAAATGATTTTGTTGTTACAAGCTCCCTAAAGCTTTGACATGACTTTATAATACAATAAATATGTGAGATGCACCTCAAAACCACGGCACTGGAAACCCCATTTTCATTTTTTAGGGGGGCATGAAGACATTCCCTGAAACCCCCAGATCCCCCCCCCCCCCTCCCCTCTTAAAAAACTATGCTCCACTGTCCCTGACAGTCCTGTTACTTTTCTGATTATCTGTGTTTTTTCTCTTAAATAGGAGTTTTTCATGGATGGGTCATTAGACTCCCACTACCATAATGCTTGGCGAATTTTCTTTCTTATTTATATTTGCATTCCCTCGTGAGAATAGTAAGAAAATTAGTGCTAATTAATTAACCGAACAAAAGAAAGTTTGCAAGGGAGAATGGTAGTAGAGGTCAATGAAGCCATCGTGGTCCTATTTCGGATATGGTACTGATTTAGTGGACTAACTCGTTTTTGTTATTTTAAGGAATGCGGCCAAACTTTACAATGTATTATAACCAGTAAGTTGAAATATATACTTTTGAGTTATTTTTAAGATAAGATATATTCCTGAATTCCTAGAATWTGTGTAATATTTGTACCTTAGAATGGGCTTATTCTTTGTGATACATTTTTGTCTTTTGCAATATATCGGTCAAGATCTTTACTGTAATATCGCACCTTTACTATTGTAAGGAAAATACTTCGCTTTCTTTGCTCCCAACTAATTTACAGTTCATGTATACTTACATATATTGCTGTTATTGTTATTAGGAGCCATCCATTCGAGGCCCGTGTTGAAAAAGTGCTCCAATGGTTAGATCTTCCTGTTCGAGGAAGCCACGGAAAAAGGTAAATCACAGGCGGGAAATTATTGGTGAAAGAAAACAAAAGCGAAAAAAAATTGGCGGGAAAAGGCGGTCGCGAAAAGTTATGAGCGGGAAAAGGTGAACGCAAAAAGTTTCTTGGCAGGAAAAGGCGCGAACGCAAGGAAAATTTTAGCGGAAAACCCTTTGCGAACATTTTTTGGTGGGAAAAGATGAACGCGAGCGGACGCAAAAATATTAATGGCGGGACCAATACRAGAGACCTAGGGACATAGTCCTTCATGCTCTCTTGGCGGGACAATGAGGATCGACGCGAACATCTTATTTGGCGGGAATAAGGCGTCCAAGTGATTTGTCCAAAGTGAAGATACAAAACCTCGCCTAGGTTTTCATTAAAGTCACGAATCAAAATGATCTAGAAGTCGAAACTTTTTCGTGTTTTTCGAATTCTGACATGCGCAGTGCGCCTTAATCCTTTTAATGCAGACATTTTCTCCTTTTGGTCAGTCGACCATTCATTCATTTYCTTTGTTATTTCACAGACGTCCTGATTTTATCACTTTGTATTTCCACGAACCTGATTCTTCTGGTCATCGCTACGGACCAGACTCCCCTGAAGTAAGTATCTATAACAAAACAGATAGAAGCGATGAAAGAAAAATAAAAGAGTACTTTACCATGGATCAAGAGAAAAGTATAAATAAACGAAGGTGGCGTCTTTCGTTTTTTTTTATGCTGGGGGGGGGGGGGGGGGGGGGGGCGTAGTTTAGAAAAAATTTCTTGAAAGGGGCCAAAATTAGGAATTGCAGAATAAGATGGAACATTGTTGTATTGTACTGGTAACCATGGCATAGTATAACACATTGCCTTGATCAGGAGCGTAAATAAAGGTGGTGCTTTGCCTATTGATAAAGGTGGGAAGGAGGGAGTGTAGTGCTTTTTTAGTTGTTTTTTTTTTTTTTTTGAGGAACCTTTTTTCCTGGAAGGGACCAAAAATTACTAATTACAGAATAAGATACAAGTGTCCTGGTAACCATGGCAAACAAAGTATAACTAAAACCCATTGTCTTCATAAACCAATCATATTTAGGTTGATAACCAAACAAGGTACGTCGACAAGATGATTGGAATGCTGTTCGATGGACTGGAGGAGAGGTCACTCAAGGACAAAGTTAACGTCATCATGCTGGCAGACCACGGTACGAATCCAAAAGAGATCAGGGGTTCTAGGGGGAGAAGTTACAGCCATGCCCAAAGTTACAAAGTTACAAAGTTACAGACACGCCCTTCATTGAAATAATCCTGGATCCCCCATTTTATTTTCATATAAATGAAACAAAAAGGTAACTGTCTCGTACGAGATGTTAACTGATGTTCAGTTCTTGATCTCGTTTTTGTAGGAATGGCTTCTACAAACTGTAGTGCTAAGAAGAYAACTTATTTAGACGAGGTATCTGATCAAAACATTCTTTTTTGTATGTTCATCACGATTGTTGGTCTGCTAGCTTGGCGCAAGGGGATTGAGAAAGGCTACASAGAAAGGCTATATGATTAGCCGCAAATAGGGTATTGGTTTCGTACGCATTTTGACGATGCAGACAGAGGAGACTTGAGTGGGGAAGAGAATGTGGAGAGGGGAATGGGGTGGAGAAAGAGGGAAAGGGAGACTGATAGCGATAGCCAGCGATCGCCTTCATCATTATTGTTGACTGAGGATGAGAAAAGGTATTGGTGGCSTGCATCGTTTTAAATAAGAATAT